GGTGTGGTGGTGGGTTTGTGGCGGGAAAAGGCAGGGTGGATGTTTCACTCTGCTTAACTTAGAACATCACAGGGAGCAGCTCCACCTCGTGAGAACTGTTTTCACTGAGCATCTGGATGATAATAATATCCAGACTTCAAGCACCTTAGAAGTGGATGACAGCTTTAAAACTGAAATCATAGTGCAAGTACAGCTTCTATACTGAATGTTGCATGTTGTCATATTGTACTGTCATAACAAACCTTCTGTCTTCAGAATGGTAACTTCAGATCGTCCAATAAAAACATGTATCTCTAAAATAGTAACTTTACAGGAGGAGGCAAAAATGTTCTTAAGGTAATGTGAAGAAAAATTCAATACAGGTAGTTTTGGAGCTCTTCTATTGGTCCACTCATCGTGACATTTTCACAGAATGTAAAGGGCAGCTCCTGTGTTCAAATAATGAACAACCAATAATAAATGTTGTTTATGGAAGGTGATGAAACGGTGTAATGAAATAATGTTACAAGGTTTTGATATGACAGTGACTGTATGTTTATAGTGGTAAGCTTTACTTTTTAATTTTTCTGGTATAGTTTAAATTAGGGATGTCAAATGTATTAAGGCTTGGTGGCCAAGTTTAGACCACACTGAAAGTTAAATCTGTACCGCTGCAAGTAAAATACTCAGCATAAACACCAGAAAAACAACTTGACTTGCGTCACTAAACAGAGGCTGAAGCTTTCAATTTCCACACTTTTTTGAGTGTTCTTTTAACTGCGTGTTCAGAGTGGTTTGTTTTCTTATTGTTTGAGCTGCTGTCTAGTAGTAAAAAAGTGTCACAGGCCTATGGAAATAGCTTGAAAACTATTGCTATTGAATGGTGCTATAGGATATTGTGGAGTCCTTATGCAAAACTCCAAAGATGTATTGCTTTTATTTTTGTTTGAGAATGCTGACCTTGGACATGTTGCTTAAGATGTGATGTCACACACATAAACAATCTGCTGATGCACATACCGATGCTGATGTAATCTAAATCCACTTGGATTAGCATTACAGTGAAATGTAAACTTAATTTCTGTAGGATTACAAATGCAGTAAAATTAATAAAATGCAAACATTTTTGTACAGTAACCCAGTATAACCTTCGGTAACCCAGTAAAACGGTTTGGCCCTTCTGGAGTACAGCAAATAAAGTCAGTTTGCAACATCGGTCAAATTTAAACATCTGTCCCATGCTAATGTTTTTTTTAGCAGCCGTATGCCGATGCCTGTATAATCCCAGTATCATCTTGTAGAATGTTCCTCCCCATTAATTTTGTATTATTGGCCATGCCAGTTCTTTTTGTCTGGACATTTTAAAGACAACTGCCGACACTACTATGTTGGTGAATACTTTAGAATGTTTAGTCGATGTGCTCTGGTTTTAAGTGACTGGTTTAGCCTTTGAATGGCTGGTTGATGTAGGTTTTAATAATGCAGTTCATAATTGGTACTAAGAATCATCAAATTTCACTGGTACTAGTACCGACTACTGGAATTTAGGTATCGTGACAACTTCAATCTGGATGATTTCACAACCTTTCAAAGGAGATTAGCTCCTGATGATGGATCACCAACCGCTGCTGCCTTTTGACAATAGAAAGTGTTCACTGTGTGAGGAAACCCACTTGCTTAGTTCCTTCAAACATTAACAAGGAAAAGCAGTTCTAATCATTAACCTTCAACCTTCTGTTCTGCATTTGACTCATTTTCCCCCTTTGTTACTTCCAGTATTATTAAAATCTAGTATCCCATTGGAATAGTTGATGTCTTATTTTTAGTCTAGTTCATATGTCATCTTCATGAATATGAACTTTTTGTAGATCTCAACCAATCAACTTGCAAAACCACAGGGGCACAGCCGCACTTCACAATGCGTGCACATACAGGGTTCTACAGTGCAAGCACAAGGCTCACATTTGCTCATACTTGTTTGTAAAAATGCAAACAAAATTGTGATTTAGCATCACCTGTGCGAGAACAAATTTTGACTTGAGTCACCTACCACGTCAATATGCATTATTTATTATGCGTGAACATTTTTTTTCAATGATGCACACTACTGGTAAAATTGAATGCTGCTATTTTTTACAGGGCATGATGAGAAAATTAACAAGTTGGCTATTTGAATATGCCACAAGAACATACAACCAACCAGCTAAATAACTTGCAAAGCTATTAAGTTTCATGGTTTAGTTAAGAATTGCTAGTTAGAGACTAATGTTTCTTGTATTTGCTGTGGTCCTAATCTAACAGGTTTTAATACTCTCAAAAAAGTTTGTTTCACTACTCGCTGTGTAGCGTCATCACAGAAACTGAGCTTAGCTGCAGGTTTGCAGGGTATTGCCAAGCATCATTAGCCAATACAGCTCCATCAAATTGAAGCCAGGTACGTTGATTTTCCTGCTATATTTAAATGGGCTACCAAAACAGTTGCTAAACCGTATGTTTAATAGTGAAGTGCGTTTTGCATAGTTAATAGGCATGCTCTAACAGTCATGGCATCAGGGCTATCTTACAGTAAAATGCTGGGGAAAGCATTTGCACACTTACACTTGTCTCGTGAGAGTTAGTCTGATCAATCAATCTAAAGATGTAAATCATTCTAAAGATCAATCAATCTAAAATCAAATCAGTGTAAAACTATCAAGATGATACAGTAAGAAATGGCTGCCCAGCAGACGTGCTTACAGGCCAAACTAGTAAGAACTCCTGGGACAAAGACATGCATTGTGTTGACTATATAACAGACAGAAAGATAGATGAAAGGACATAATATATATAATATATGTTAAATGACTAATGACTTCAGGTAATCCTTCAGGGCTTGGACAGTGTAGAAAAAATGTGATTGCTGAATTTAACATCCTCTGACTGATAAAGAAAAAGTTCATTATAGGTTTGTGCTCATAGATTTTTCTGTGTGCTTCTGTGTATTGAAAATCATTTAAAATCTCAGCAAAAAGCTCACCGTAAAACCCTGACATGACATTTACAATCCCACAACCCATGTAATGCCCATCAAAAGTCCTCTCTCTGCGGCGTGAAGCATTGTGATTTTCAGACCTCAAACTTCACAGCTCTGCAGCTCTTTAAACACAGCTGAGCCTCACACTGAAGTGAAAGTCCACTGAGAAGGCTAAGTTTAGCCTGTGTGCTAAATGCTTTCCTGTTCTTTTTTTCTGCTAATTGAACACCCTGTCAACATATAGACAAAACATGACTATTTAAAGACGTCTACCGGCTCATGGCTCTAATTACTAACTGTGGCCTCTTATCAGCCTATCAACACAGCTGCAGTCCTGCTTAGCTCACCCGTTGCCTGCTTTGTATCATACTGTATAATTAGCATTGATAACTGACACACCCCCTGCTCAGTGTCTTTCAGTGGTATAATTACATTACCATTCCATTGGCCCAGCAGAGGAGGGGTCATTTTTGAAAGGCTTGTCATACAGTTAGGAGTTGTGTGCTTTGTTTATTTTGCTCTGTTTCACTGCTCCTCCCCCCGGCTAACTGTAGAAGACTGAAGCATATGTCATATGTATGTTATGGATCAGTGACTGTTGAGAAGTCACATTGCACTGAACAAACACGGTCAAATAAAACATCCAAAAACAACCAGTAATGTTGCATAATAGATCGAAAAATCAGTGTTTTTTAATACTACGACATGGTAAACAATTCAATACTGTACTTTCAGTACTTTCAGTTCTTTATTTAAACAGACTGACATTGTATTCTACTCATAGGCATCTGAAATTAAGCATTATTTGACTTGCATAGACAGATTAATTAACATGTAAAGAATTTTTTAAAATTGAAAATTGATAAAATTGGTAAAAAAGCGACGAAGGTTGATATGACAGATGTTAATTAAGCTGTAATATTTTTCTGTGTTCAGTCCAATAAATACTGAGTGTTTATGGCAGGCATCTTTTTGCCATAGTATTATTTTGGTATTTAGCATTATAATTACACTTGATGCTTCAATAGCATTAGTTGGAATTCTGGTATCATGACAATCCTAACAACCAGTACAGAATACACTTATAAACTGGGATGCGTCTCCAGGTAGTTCATTCTTTTTTTCTGTCTTTCTTTGTTTCTCTGGTTTCGTTCTTTCAACATCACTGGCAGCTCAGCACGCTTAGAGGAGACACCTGCTTTTGCTACCATTGTTCTGAATGTTGGGGGGGAGGGGCAGTCCATCCTAAAGCCTCCCCACTTCTCCAAGAAGGGTGTGAGGCCATTGATGCTCTCTTGGAGTACTGATCATGGATGGCTGTGGTATCACTAGGCAGTAGATACTGGATAGGGTGTGCATTCTAATAATTTTGATATTTGAGGATCAGCAAACATTAACGAATACCAAAATTAATGTATGGCCAAAGTGAGCTGCACAAAAATAGCAGTAAGCAGAGGAGTACATATGGAAACATGTTTTATTACTCAAAAAAAGGAAGGTCTGTAGTTTTCATGTTAGATGAGAAATGGAGGCTGGCTTTTCAGATGTGAGCTAGAATTACAGCTAATTGGTGCAGCACATACTGATGAGGACTTGCCGTCTTGCACAAGGTCTTTTTTCCTCAGTGGATTATTTGCCAACATGTTATTTATTAGAGAAATATAGTTCTACTGTCTTTTCTCTCTCTTCCTGTGATGAAGTGGAACGAGTACCCGAAAGTGGTTTAGTGTTCGAATACTGGCATCTCCAACAGTTTACTGAGTACTTAAGTACTTGTGCACATCCCTAATCTGAGAGCCCATTTTGGTTATTTATTTGTACAAAAAAACATAATTTATTCTAAGATCTTCAAAATGATTTAAAAATTTGTGAATATGCAGTTTTTCAGTGTTTTCTGTATTTTCTGTATGTTCCTAGGTCTCTGGCCGCCCCCAACCATGTCATGACCCTGAAGACTGCCCAGCATAATTAACCTTTAACCTTTCCCCTCTGCTCTTCTTCTCCACAGTGAACAGAGTATCTGCCAGGCCCGGGCCTCGGTGATGATCTACGATGACACCAGCAAGAAGTGGGTGCCCATCAAGCCGGGCCAGCAGGGATTCAGCCGTATCAACATCTACCACAACACGGCTAACAACACCTTCCGCGTGGTGGGAGTCAAACTGCAGGACCAGCAGGTGAGATATTGGGCACGCTTCACTCCAGAGACTGACCCATCAGGAAGACAGAATGTAATAAAGTCTTCCCACCCAGAGTACCACACTCTATCTCTGGAGTCTTTACTCTCTGAGAGCAGTCAAACTGAGTCAGAATGAACATTCAGTCATGCAGGTGAATAAGTGTGTTGGAACGCAACAGTTGGCAGAACTGCTTGACTTTTCATTTCTTTGAAAATTAATAAGTATTTGTCACACTTTGATGCTAAATACTAATACTACAAGTATTAGTACAAGTAAACTTATACAAACAGTATATATTAGTACTACAAGTAAACACAACTGTTAAAAAGTTTGGAATCACGTTTATATTTGCTGTTATTTTATTATTTAATAATTTATACATGTACAGTCGTATGCAAAAGTATTATTTCATCCTCTACAATTAACTGATTTATATATGGCATGTTTCATTTTATTTGCCAAGTTTAACAATTTAACACAAAATAAAATATCAAATATAAAATGTTTCATAACATTTTGCACACAACTTGTTTTACGTGTGATTTTTTTCCCCAATATGTTAAGTTCAGCAAATAAACAGTAATTCTTTATTAAAATGTGCAGATGTTTGCTCTCTGTAGAGGACATGTCAACTTCTTTTCACTTAGAAAATCAACAAAATGCAATTTAACTGAAAGGGGAAAGAAAATTTTGTCTATGACTGTGTATGAAATATTATGAGCTAGACAACAGAAGGTATTTTAAGATGTTTTTGGGAACATCAAAAAGTTCTGAAGTGATAAATAATGCACTGTAATTGTCTCTTGTAGAAGTTTTCTGCCTCAAAATTTGTTTACAATTTTTCAAATAAGATATATATAACTTCATTCTTAAGGGTAATCTTAATTATCATGGAATCATCTGCATACATCTAACGTCTTCTTTTTTTATTTTTTCCTGTAGATTATTAGAAACCTATAAAATTGTAGAGTATTTGTATAATGGAACCATGTCATATTTGTACCTGTAAAAATTAGTTTTATATTATTGAGAACAGTGATTCCAAACTTTGGAATTATAGTGCATGCTTACTGTCTTAGAAATTAAACAGTGGCATCTCAATAATGTAAGATTTCAGCAGGTTAGTATGCAAAATATTAACATATTGCACCGTTTTACACTAGCGGGAAGCGATATTGCTATGCCAGTGTATGTCATATCAAACTGTGACCTTTCAGGCCTTTTTGAAATGACAATCAAGTTTGGTCAAGAAAAAAACTATTTTTATCACAGGCTTTGGTTTTTTATAACTTGTAGTTATCCTACTTCTTTGACAGCCAAGACTGTCCCATGTCTTAAGAGCATACATACATACATACATCATCTAAACCGCTTATCCTTCTGGGTCACGGTGGGGTGCCGGAGCCTATCCCAGCTGTCATTGGGCGGAAGGCAGGATACACCCTGGACAGCTCGCCACTCTATCGCAGGGCAGTCTTAGGAGCAGTGCTGTATATTTATTAAACTTTCACTACTGTTCACAAGTTTGAAATCACCCTTCAAAAGTTTGAAACAAATGTTTTCAGTAATATAAAACTAATATTGATGCATACGCATGTATATATTGGTTATAAAATGATGCCAACATTCAATTGGTTTTAAACAATTTGTAGGCAGCTGAAAAATTTAACTCGTTTGACTATGAACAGAGTTCATTATTTAAACACATTTGCTATTATTTTTACTGTGCCATAACTTCTTGTTGTTCCCAAAAGATTTAAAATTTTGAAGGATCTGTTTGTTTATATTTTGCCATCCCTCAATCTACACTGCAATAGTTACTATTGCAAAACAAGTATTAATATAACAGTTGTTTCTAAACTTTTGAAATGCAGTGATGTACACTGCATTTCAAAAGTTTAGAAACAATTGTTAGGTGTTACTTTAATTTTTCAGCTAGTTAATGCTCAGCATCTACCATATGTTCTTTCAGCTGTTTTATACAAATTTCCAAATGAAAATACAAATTCTAGATTTTCCCTTTAGAGGTGATGTTTTATTGTTATCCTCACAAATTATGTCACACTATGCATTTCTGAGCATATTAAGGAGAACACTGACCTACTGCATGTTTCATTACAAAGAGAGCATAATTAGTCCTGTTTTACTTGATGTAATGCAGTGCAGGATGTGAAATATTAAATAAAAGTCATTATATAATCATCATATTCATTGTTTGGCCTACCCCTACTTCCCTTTCCACTTTGTGTTGTAATGTGAGACAACAGTATCCATTAACGTGAAAAAGTCTATTCTAAGTGTGTATGTTGGGTGTTTTATATACAATTGACACACAGCAATTGTACCAATTGCACAAAGTGCCAACATGGGCTACAGTAATAAAACTGCCTACTGTTTTATCACTGAGTTGACAGGATTTAATAATATGACCTTTCCCATCTCTTCAGTGTGGATACTGCAGCTCAGTTACATACTTCAGTCTAATAGTGTCTCTTCATGTCACCTCTTCTTCCTCAGGTTGTGATAAACTACTCCATAGTGAAGGGTCTGAAATATAACCAGGCCACACCAACCTTCCACCAGTGGCGTGATGCCAGGCAAGTCTATGGACTCAACTTCGCCAGCAAAGAGGAGGCCAGCACCTTCTCCACTGCCATGCTTTTCGCCCTCAACGTCCTCAGCTCACAAGACGCAGGTGAGTGCTGTGTTGACACTTGTAAAAGAATCCTAAGTAATCATCTGGAGTTGATTGGATGCTGCTTGTGTTAAATTTGCACTTACTGCGAATAGTTGGGCTTTTATTTGGAAGTTTGTCTTCATGATTAGAGAGCACTGAGCATTAAAGGAGTAACCCAAGACTTGTACCTAATCAACACTAATTTCAGTTAGTTTTCCTGTTTTTATAAAAGAACAGAAAAACTGTTAACCAGAGGGACGATTTTGCGTTATTGTTGTAGTTTAATGGGCAGAGTTTTTGTCAAAAGTTAAAAAAAACATCATAATGACTGTGTTGGTTGGACAATCTTTCATGTCTGTCTCATCCTCAGACCTGTACTGTAAGAGTGTGATGGTTGTGTAGTTTTGTATATGCATTTATATAGTCACATGTTTGGAACTATACAAAGAATTCAGACAGTGTTAATAATGTTAGATTATTTACAGCACTAATTGATTTAATGCTATAAATGCATTTTCCTAGCAGTGCAGGCTGAAGCCCAGCTGCTCATGCACTGTGTGCTGTTCTGTTGTTCAAATACAGCTTTTAAATGGCAAGCTTCTATGATTGCTCTCTTGATAAAAGTTAATTCCACCATGATTATATATATGGAAAAAATGATATACAGTTATATGTAAAAGTTTGAACACCTATGGTCAAATTAGACGTTTTGTTGAATTTGTAAATGAAAATAACACATCCTATATATGTAACAGACATAAATATATCATTTTCACAATGATACAGACTGGGAAAATAAAGCATAATCAATTAAATATGCCTTAACTTTTGCTTATGCAACTTTTTATGTTTTACTAACCATTTTCACCAACGATTCTTATGAAGAAATTTCTTCTTAAAACGTCTTACGCAGTTTTTACAAGGATTCTGATGTTCACCAGTGTTTTCTTATTTGGGATTTGTTCTTAAGTAAGAACAGAATCTACACACAGTCAAGAGCACAAAGGTGTAAACAGTTCTGCGGTTTAAGAACGCGTCATGATTCAGACGTAGACTTTTTCTTAGGACCTTTCTCAAGAACACATTTAAAAAAACCCAGGAAGAGACTGGTGATTGAGGCTCAAGAGGTGGTTATTGTTCTATGTAGAGGATGTGTCAGCTTATTTTCACTTAGAAAATGAAAATAACCTGTAGTTTGACCAGGGACACAACCTTTTCAATACATTCATCGATTAGAATAAGCAGCCACTGGACGTCGGTGATGAAAATTGAAACTGTTCACCCCGTGGAAATCATTTGATGTTTAGTTGTTTAGTTGTTTAGTTGATGTGAAACCTGCATTCACATGATGAAAATAATGTTATTGAGGTAATAAAAGTTTATAAATGCATTCTGATGAGGCTAATTTAGTCCCCTTATATATCTGTACGAGAATGCACTGCTTTTTGAATGGACAAATCTCTCTTTAGGGTCAAATTTTAGCAAATAAAATAAATTAATAAATATTTTAATAAATAAAATAAATGATTAATTGTGATTTACTGCACAAAGAGTGCAATTAATGACGATTAATTATTTTAACCCCTTAAATGGCCAGAGTTCACCAGCAGGCCCAGAGTTTTATTACACACTTCTATAACCTGAGAATAGCTCAGCCAGTTTGCACTGAAGTCCCTGTAGTTACTGAATAATAAATATGTAAAAAGTCTAATATTTTAAGGGGCTAATTGTTTTACAGCTCTACTACTATAGATGAGTTTCAAGACATCAGGTTTTCATTTTTTTTCTACAGGGAAATGCATCAAATTGTTGTCTGTGATAATCGTTTGCATAATTCAGGTGTAGAGGACAGAAGTTGTGGAATATTCCTTTGAATATGTGGCATGTTTTCCGTAAGAGAATAGTACAGCCTCTACAACTCATACAAAACGCAGCAGCACAGATCTTAACAAAAACAAAAGAGAGCTTAATCACTCCCATTTAGAAAGAACTGCTTTGGCAACCAATATCTTTCAGGAAAGATCTTAAAGTTCTGCTACTAGTTTTTAAAGCTGTAAATGATTTTAAGGCACCACTTACATCACAGAATGTCTGTCTGTTTATGTTCCAGTACATGATCTTAGATCTGCAGACACTGACCTTCTGTAAAATACAGAAAACATGGAGATTTTACTGGAAAACTCACATAGCCTGGTCATAATGCATCTGCAGTGCACTAGAATGCTCATCTTCCCTACACAAGTATCCCACAGCAGCCTTTGTTTCTGGGGTAAGAGAAGTGCATAGCTACTGTAGACCTTTATTTAAGAAGCTGTTGTGATGCAGCAGGCGAGCGTGCTTCTTTGAGCTTGCAGGTGGAAGCTCTGACTCTTACTTAAGAAAAGCATGTGGGCTTCTCTAGTTTCAGGCTGCTGCTACTTATATGCTCATAGGGGGGTGTCTGGTCACAACTCAGTTTTCCCTGACGTCTCCCCATTGGTGACTAGCATGGCTAAAATATCCATGGAGCCGACCAGTCTCAGAGCGCCAATCTTACATGCTCTCATGCTTTTTTGGGATGGGAGCTGGAGATGAGGGTGTTGGAAATCCCAGCTCAGCTCAGCATGCAAAGAAAAGAAGAGTTGGTGTTTGCCTGGCTGTGCTCACCTGGGTTCTGACCATTATCACCCAACCATTAGGCCCAGGGTTAGCAGAGCTAACCCGGCCTGACTGATCATAAAAGATTCATTACAAGTTCCCAACAAGGGGCGTTAGCTGTGGCGCCATGCTAGGACCACCATTCTCCCCTGGGCCAGTCCGACGGGTCAGCTCAGCAGTTATAAAACTCAGCAGTAAGTATTATGAGTTGGGGTGGAGTGGGGTGGGAGGTGTTGCTTTGGAAATGACAGCGATTGAGAGAGGTTGGTGTTAACAATGTGATGAAATGGCGGTTAGGTGCTATTGTGGTGCCCTCAGTTGGGGGGTGAAGTTCTGGAAACTGTTGAATGGATTCTGGCACCGAGCCTGCTAGAGACTCGTGATGAGTTTGTTTTGTCAGTGCTATTTCTGAACGGTTAGCAACACATCAAGGTCTCCTTCCACCTTGATTTGAGACATCACGTGATGTAAACATGAGAGTGAAAATTTTACATTCTTTAAAGTTTTAGGTAGAGGAAGCATAGCTGACCTCGTCTTTTACTGATATTCAGCTAAATAGCTTTAAATTCAACTTATACTGCAACTACTGCCAATGCCTAACTTTAAACCCCATCCTTAATGCTGCTGATAATTAACCAGTTTAACCAGTTTCCATTCCATCGATTTTTCAAAGGGTCTGCATAATCCAATCTCATTCAGAATGTTTTGATATGAAATGCTGCATTATAGAGAATAAGGATGCATCAGTATCGATAGGTGTTTCGGGTATCAGCCCAATACCGTGCTCATTTACTTGTACTTATACTCTTAAAAAATGCACCAGTACCAACATGCGATACTGCCTGATGCCATGTGACATAAACCTAACCGCTGCCACGCTAATGACTCAAGCTGGCAGTAAGTGTTGCTGACACTGTGGCAGTTGGACAGTAAGTTGTTGGTCAATTTAAACATTATGCCTTGGAATATTTCCGCCAGGAATACACTGTGCAATTTTAGACCATACAAATACAATACCAACCACTTCCCCAGTACAAGTGGAGACATGTAGGCTAGCAAAATGAAGGCGAAAAACTCAATATGTGTTACCAAAGCCCATTTATGCCAACTTTACTCTGTTTGACTGAATAGAATTGTGAGGTATAAACGTTAATATGTTGATTTTTTTCAAATTATAAAAGTCTTTGTAGAGTAGACTGTAGAGAAACCATGTTGTCCTGCCATGCACATCACCACTTGCTTTTAATTTCATATGTCTTCCTTACAACACTCTGCATGTACCTCTATGCCATGAATGAAGTTTAAAATATATTCTAGGCCAAAACCTTATTGTAAAACTATCATAAAACAGTGTCTTAGGCATCAGGCTGTGCATTCATATATTATCTTTCTGTAAGGGAGCTTTTAGAGGCATTAAATGTTGCTTGACTCACTTCTAGTTGAAAGACATTCCTTTCCTTCCCTGTTGCATTTTTTGCTTGTCCAGATTTTTTTGTGGAACTTGAGGCTATCCTGCTAAATGATTGGATGAAAAGATTGGAGGAGTATAATAAGGCTACACCTATCTAGCATGTGAAGGTAATACTTTAAAATATAATGTATGTCACAAATGAAGCAGAAGTCTAATAATGGTTCTTGTGGTTGATGGGGAAACTCATGTTTCAGTCTAATGATATATTGACCATATTCATAAACCCCTAGGTTCTGGGTCAGGTCTTTTCAATGCGTGTGTAGAGCTCAGCACAGACAGATGGGACACTGACCCTCGATCAGTTCTGAGGAGATTTATGAACACTTCCAACCCCCCTGGGGATACATTAACTCTTTGCCTTTGCCATGGCCCAGATGATTCATTGTGCGCATGGGTCTTAAACCTGCGGTTACAGCTTGCTGGCCATTACCACTCTACCCTGTAGCAGCTTATTCCTGTGTTTAAAATACTCTGGCTTGCCTCGGCATCCTCCTTCCATGCCAAGTAACATATCTGGCTTTTGTAAGGCATTCCGTAGAGCTTCCAGTATGTCTTAATATTCTCTGTGACACAGTAATCTGTATAAATATGCTTAGCAGAATCATGTTAGTCTTTAAATTTGGCATTTAAGCAATGAAATCCACAGCATTACTCGGTTAGGCCTTATTTATTCATGCACTAGCTATTTGTTAACTGACAATAATGCCATGGGAATTTACCAGCAGAAATGAGGGGAATACATCATGAGAAGTAACACAATTCTGCAAGGAGGAGCAGCTCCTTAACAGAATGCAGACTGTATTGAATGTGTATTTGCTGTTTTGCATCAATGTAGACTATTACATCAATGTCCATCTTATGTGTGGAATGTCACAGCAAATATTACCCATTTAAGACCCTGTAAACATAA